AACTATTATCTTCATCTAAGACTTCAACTGGAAGGTTAGATCCAGTTCCAATCAAGTAATTAAAGAGAGTATTGCCTCTGATTTCCAACTCATTAGATATGATTAACCTATCCCTGTGATAGGGACGTCCGGCTTTTAAGGTTGCTGTAATTAAACCTTTACTTAAGAAACTGTCTCTTCACCCAGATGACTTGGTCTTGCCTGCAGGTTTACTAGTGGTTCCTAGAATCCCTAAAAGTAGAATGGGAGGCAGATCTTTTAGTTATCAGGCTCCTCTCCTGTTGGAATAACTATAACAAACTTATAGTTAGAGTTGCTCATGTTACCCTGAGCTATCTCTATAGTTATGCTGCTATAGGCTTAGACTGCTGGAGGAAATTGTGACCACTTTTCTTGTTATAGTAGCTTCATATAGTCTAATGCCTTTTGGCTGTGACACCATCTCAGAGAGAAATACCAGCTGTGCTGCCATAATCAACACCTTTGTGTATAGATATTGGAGCTTGGCCTGTTTTTCAGTGTAGTCCTGTTGCTCACTGTCACTACATCCTTGCTTCGTATATAATATATGATATAATCAGCTGTTTTTTTCATTGGAGGAAAAATTAACCAATCTATGTTTATGATCTGGTTGAATTGTCTCTGTGCTGTAGAAATAAACTGAATTGAAATTGAATTGATCTTAAACATGGGTGTTAAATGTTAATAACTTAAATTGGATGTAACTTTTAATTTAAACCATTAGATGGTGGCAAAGTGCTTCCAATATTATCTGTGTGCTTCAATATGATAACACCTACAGCAACAAGTGTTATTGGAGAATATTAAGGTCCTAGATTTATTGAACATGCAAGCAACCTTTATTAATCCTGGAAGGGAGAACTACACTCTGCCGATTTCTGTCTGTTCTGATCAGGCAAAGGATATCCCTAATGACCTAAAACATATAAAATAAAAATTGTAATTTACTTGTATGATAAAACTGTCAAATTAGGAAACAGAAAAAAAAATGTCTATTTAATCAGACAAAATTAGCTTAAAATAGCTTCCAAGTTTTTGAGGTATTTGAGTAATGTAGTTTTAGTATGTTCACCTTGTAATGTGATCATACATTTAATTAACAAGCACCTTTCAAGATCAGAGTATAATTAAACATGATACTAAATAAACAATAACAAGATAAATAACATAGCAAATAAATACAGAAAAAGAATTAAACATAAAACCACATCTCAACTGTTAAGATAGTGTCCATGCTTGCCATCTTATACATATGACCTAAAGTAAAGAAATGTACTTACATTCATTAGGTTGGATATGAAAGACGGAAACTAAAGAAAAAAATTTGATTGATATCAATGTGAGAGGTTTGCAGTGGATTTAATGTAGTGAAGGCATAAAGTACACATGAACAAAGTTTTTGGTAACACCGATCCCTATTTATTTACTGGATTGCTGATAGGCCATTGGAAGTACATGGTGCTGTGAATTCACCAGCCACCACATTGGTACTCCCTGGAATGTAAGCAGTGTGCTACAGCATCAAACAAAGATTATGTTTCATTTACTTTTGAAACAGAGATAAAGTCATTACTTTGACATTTGCTCTTTCATAGCATCAGTAGATTACTCTAATTTATAATAAAAAAATAGGCACATAACATTACATATTCAGTATGAAGTCCATACAGTCAATAAATCATGTAATATGATATTATACAAATACATCACAACATAATTAGTGTGTTAAAGGAGTATAATAATAACCAGACACTAAGAATATTACACACGCACAAACATACACTAGCTTGTGATGTGCCAAAAGTACTAAATTGAGGATGTACTGTAATGTAAGATACATGTATTGATGATATTTCTATGTGATTACATATTACATTGTAGTCATTTTTATGGCGCTACTCCGTGAAAGTGGGGAGCACCAAGATGGTGGCAGGTGATTTCATTTTTTTTTGGTCTATCAGCAATCCACTGTATAAATAGAGATCAGTGGTTGGTACCCCTGGTTTCATGACTGAAAAACCTACAATGATTACAAACAATGTTGAACATGAGCCCGATTGGTAAGCAGGTGCCTTCTGTAACTCAAAGCAACTTCTCTGATCTGAGTAGATTACAATTTCTATCAAAATCTGTTGCCATGTCTCAGTGTTATTTAAAGAATTTACATCATGAAGTGTTATTCAAAGAGTTTGTACCGAGTGACCTCTTTTCAGGAAAAAGAACCGGAGAGAGAAAGCTTCAATGTGTAAAACTTTCCTTTATGAATGTTTGTTTGTTGTATCAAGTATAAATAAAAAACATAAATTCACATACTGTTTTTTGATAAAAAAAAATAGCAATATCTTACCAGCATATGTTACAATGCAAGAAATGAAAAAAATCTTTTTTTATTTAACCTTCTTTTCTTTCATTGGTAATGATTCTTCCTTGACTGCTGCAAGCTGGACAGAACAAACCTGAAGTCAATAATGACAGGTTGTCTGGAGATGTAGAGTTGTCATCTAATTGCTCAACTGTCCTTTTTTTCTACAGCTGCAACTCCCACTGTCACAGCTTCAACAACTGCAGTAACTACACTTGTAACAAGTAAGGACTTCTATGTTAATGTTAATGCTCTGTATGTAGAATACCAAAAAAATACACACATATCAACAAATGGTTTGATCCAGTCTACATTATGTCCTGTATAATAAGAAGGAAATTGAAGAGGGCATGTTTTAGATTAATGGCCATAACTGCGCTAGAATTGCCCAAAGTCCAGACCTAAGGGCAAAGCTGGTAGAGCTGGTGACTCGGAGGGCTAATAGAAATGTAGACAACACTGGTCAATGTCTCATTTTCTTTTCATTTTAAAATTATGAAATGCTATATTGAATTGATGTGCTTTTTAACTACAGCAGTGAATATTGCTGCCTAAAATTATTCAAAATATTCAGAAAATCAGATTAAAAAGATTATTCAATGAATAATGTATTACAGTAAAATAATTTTTGGTTGAAGCTATAATTTCCCTTATTATTGAAGGCCACTCCTACCCTTCTTGCACAAGTTTATTTAAAGTTAAAATCTTTTTAAATTTAAGTCTGATTAAAATTATTTACTCAGGTCTTAATAAATTATGAGGCCATTTTGAATCAGATCATAATTAATCAATTAAAGAAAATTGAACACATTGCAAAAACCCTTGACCTACAATGACCCTTATCTAATGATTTTGACACAGACTTAGACAATAACTTTCAATATATGCACACTTTTCATGATTTAAATCCAAAAGATATAACTCAAGATTTGTGAAACACTTAAGTACAACTTTAAAGCTGTTAGTTGATAAAGAAGGAAACATCTGAGATTGTGATATACTCATATCTAAACCTTGAAATATTTTAGGTACAATGCTCCAAAATACAACAATGAACACGACGACCCCAGTTCCTTCAACTCTGCTTGAAACAACAAACAGTACTACCATTACCTCCACCGCTACTAACACAACAACTATGATCATTCCTACAATGTCCTCTAACACAACCGCTACTGCAACCCCAATTGTAAAGGATACTACACTTTCCACCATATTTAACACCACAACTAACCCCGGTGTTGACACCACAACCCAACATTTTACAAGCAGTACAGTTGCCACCCTCCTACTCAGTACTAATTCCACGACTACCACCTCTATTTCCCTGACAACTAATCTCAGTACATCAACATCTATCCCCTCAACAACGACTAAAACAACCAATCCAACTCAGCCCACAACCACAACCCAGCCAGCAACTACCACTTTTTTACCCACAACTAATACAACTAGCACTAATCCCACAACAAACTCGACGTCTGCCACCACAAAACGATCAACTCCAACCAGTACTACAACCACAACTACTTCTAATATCCCAACAACTACAACCACAACTACCACAACAACTACCAGTACAGCCACAAGTGCAACTACAAGTTCAACTGGGAGTGCAACTACTACATTCACTACTGTGACCATTATTGGCACCTCACCTCCTACCACCACTCCTATCACCACTACAACTGTGCTTGTAACAGGTAATGTTGATCTCTTTATATACAACAAAAAGAACCATGTACACCTTTTTAACTGTTTCTCAAAGTTCTCAAATGATTAATGACATGAAATCCTTAAAATTCCACTGTTTACTTTGAATATTTCCAGAAAGTAGTCTTTATTGGGACATGAGTTTTGAAAGGATTCCCTGTGTATCTCAGTTAAAAAAAAACAGCATCAAAAAAACATTAATGATTGCTCTATTTTACAACAGGGATTGATACTCCAATCTCAATTGAATTAGATAAGGAGTTTATACAAGCATATAAAAATAACAGAAGCCAACCATACATTGACCTTAAATCAGATATTGATACAGTGGTAAGTATGTTTTGAGTTTAATATTGATTCAATTTTCTATGTGTTTGTGCCTTAGTACTTGTTAAATCAACCACATCTATTTCCATAGCTGGTGGACCAGTATAAAGACATACCGGGATTTATTGATGCGTTTGTGACCGGTTTCAGGTACCTGGCTTTTTACGGTTATCAAAAAAAACAACAACGCAGTCTTAATCCTCACATGCTTCTGCTCATGATTTTTGGTTTGATTTGTTTCACAGAGAAGGAAGTGTTATTGTAGACTTTATTGTCAGGACATCTGAATTTGATGACAGTCAAATTGCTGCGGCAAATGAAAAACTATTTACAGCCATGATCCCCATAGCCCCTGTTTTTAAAGACTCACTTGTTGTTCCAGAGAAAACAAGTAAGTTTACAGCTGTTGGTTTGTTTCAATTTGTATTTGTTTTTTGGAAATTGAAATCCTAGTAAATTTATTGGACTTTATTTGCAGGTGAAACACAAATGAACCTAGATCGGACACCCATTTTCACTGGAGACAGCATGACATTGACATGTGATCCTCCTGGTTACAATCTGGGAAATGATGTTAAATTTGAATGGAAATTTAATGGATTGGCAATTTCATCACGAAGGCATGAAATTTCTCCAACCCGACCATTCAAACTGAAAGTTACCAAAGTGATTCTTGCTGATGCTGGTACGTAAGTTAGTCAACTTTATTTGAAAAACTGATAGATAAGTGGTTCTCATATGATTTAAATATTAAAACTAATCTTTATATTAGTTTAAAACCTAATCTTCCATATGCTACCCCAACTCTATGTATGTATTGGTTTGCTTAATACAATATAAACATTCTTGGTCATGTACATTTCTTCTTATTATTATTTTTCTTATTAAACACTATAGACATTAGACCCCAAAAGGATGTCCTGTCTCCATATTTGTAGGTGTGTAAAACTTAATAGGTTGATAAATAAAACTTTTAACTTAAGTACACTTTTAAACAGTTAGGTATCACCGTCAGCTGAATGTAAAAATTTGACCACATTAAACATCTATCCAATAAATTAAGGTATTACAGTTCTGCAAGGTGGCTTTAATCTACTGTTTCTTTATTTTCTACCATCCAACAAATTGGATCATTGCTGTTTGTACAATTAATATTAATGTAATGACAGCTACAAGTATATAAGTATTTTGGTTCACCTACTAGCATTAAGACAACGCTTATATCATATTTTGGTGACAAGGATTTGGCTTCCATGCACTGCTTACACATTTACTGTAAATATATATATATATATGTGTGTTTGCATATAGATATATGTGTGTATAATTGAATGCTAAAACTCGAAATTATACCTCTTCTTATTTTAGGAGAATATCAATGCACATTGAAGGGACGAGCAATTTCAGTCCACCAGTATAGGAGAGTGCAAGCTGATCAAATCCAAGCAGCTCCCATTGTACAAGTTCAGCGTACAATGTTTGCTCAGTGTGACCAAGGGAAGACTGTAGCTCTTGAGTGTTGTGTCCAGTCCCCTTTCAAAGTAAAATGGTTTGCTGGTTCTAATTCTTTATCATCCAGTAAGTATTTACTGATGGAATAAAATAAACAATCTAATTAGTTTCAAGGATTGGATGTTGTTTTTGTTATGTTTAACACAATCTAAAATGTTTGCAGGTCCAAGTGAAAACCCAAACTGCATCATTTATCAACATCCCATGCAAAGCTGCACAGTAGAAAAGAAAGAAACATTTACATGCAAAGTAGAAAATCCAGTGGGTTTTGAAGATAAAACCACTCTGACCATCTTTTTGGATCGTAAGACCATTGAAAAAAATATCATATATTGATGCAGTGCTTATGATTTTTTTTGCTCAGCTTGCTGTTTTGAACTTTCTAGCGATTATCTGCAATGATGATGAGTATGGGGCTGGAAGAACAGGTGACAGAGCAGAAGGAAAGTGTGAAGAAGGTCAAACGGGGGCCAAGATTGTAGAGTGTCTGGCATCAGGAAACTGGAAACTTGTAGAGGACAACTGCATTGTAGCCATAATCAATGAATTACAAATTGAGGCAGAGGTAGGTGATTTTAGACTGTTTTTCATGGAGGATTACCAAATCTACTGCTCTTTTATGTGCGCAACAATGAAAACCTTTCATTTTGCAACTGAAAAAAACAAATTTCTTACCTTACAGTAAAGAATGTTTCTCCAAGGCTGGTGGCTTGTGAAAATCTTTAAAACTATTTGGCAATTCTTTCACTTTTATTTCAAAATCATATCATGACCCACCTCCTTTCCACAGTTCACCTTCGACAATATGATGGTCCCATGTGAAAAGAGCTTTAGGGTATTTTTTGGATCCGAGACAGTCCCTTTAAATACCACTAAGCCATCATGTTCTTGGCTCTCACCCCTGGATAGATAGATAAATGGCAAGGTTAAATATCAATATGGAAAAATTAAAATTCAATAGACATATTGTGGCTGCTCAGTTATTACCAAGCTAGTTTTCATAAAGTGAAAACAGATGTTTATCTGTTCCTCAACCTTCGTGCATTATTGATACACATTTGTTTCTGTTTTACTTTTGTTCAGGATCTGAAAGAGCAAGAAATACCAGTATTCACAGGAAATTTAAGTAAAGCTGTACAGAAAGAAGAAAAACAAATCACCAAGTCATCCGCAACAATATCTGCTATTGTTAATATCTTAAATACAATTGCAAGCGTTTCAACAGATGTAAAAGAAGATGTCATGCAGGTATAGTAAATATTCTGTTCTCTAAACAACTTCTTTATCACCAGTAAGTGGATGTTTTTTTTTTTATTATTATGCTTATACTCATTACACGTCTCTTCTTCTACAGAATGTACTGGATACTGTTGATGTCATAATTAGTGATGATGCAAAGGATTCTTGGACTTTTCTGAATACAGATGAAAACCAAAATTCCAGCTCACTTTTGCTAGGTTCACTAGAAACGCTTTCTGAAAGGCTAAATGGAACATTTACATTACGTACCCAAAGGATTCAGCTTACAAGAACAACATTCAGAAACTCATTCAGTGAAGAGCTGAACTCCACAGTGTCAATAACAATCCCAGCAACAGGCCCCAAAGATATAATTATCACCACAATTCTTTTTTCCTCTTTGAATAATGTTATGCCAACACGGACCTCTACGTTCAATGTTAGCCTTTTGAATTCCACCAGCAATGAAACTGACACTGAGAATGCCATCAATGCTGCTGTTCTTCTTGTCAAAATAGATGAAACAATTAAAAATGTTACCTTAAGTTACAACAAGCTCAATACAACCCTAAAACAAAATCCACAGTGCGTCTTCTGGAATTTTACACTCTTAGATGCAATTGGGGCTTGGGATGATGAGGGCTGTGAGTTTGTTTCTGACATAAATGACACTGTAACCTGCACCTGCAACCACCTCACATCTTTCTCAATTCTTATGTCAACTAGTATCCCTGAATCAATCAGAACATTATTGGATATAATGACATATATTGGAGTTGGGATATCAATGATCAGCCTTCTAATTTGCCTCGTTATTGAAGGAATTGTTTGGAGAGCCCTAACCAAAAATAGCACTGCTTTTATGCGCCATGTTGCCATTGTGAACACAGCGCTGTCCCTGCTGATTGCTGACATCTGCTTTATCATTGGAGCAGCTATCGCAAAGAACCCTAAAGAAAACCCAGATGAGGACTACACAGTACCCCTTGGACCTTGTAGTGCAGCAACCTTTTTCATGCACTTTTTCTATCTTGCCATGTTCTTTTGGATGTTTGTTTCAAGCCTCTTGCTCCTATACCGGACAGTCATGGTCTTCTCTGAAATGTCCAAATGGACCATGTTTGCCATTGGCTTGACTGTGGGATATGTTTGCCCTCTGATTATAGCTGTTACTACTGTTGCCGCCACAGCACCTGAGAACGGATACATAAGAGAATATGAAGCCTGTTGGCTAAACTGGACTAAGACTAAGGCCCTCTTGGCCTTGGTGATCCCTGCGCTAACCATTGTTGTATTCAATATTTTGGTCATAATAGTGGTTTTGTACAAGATGATTAGAAGAAGGAGTCCTGGAAATGCAGCCCAGGCAAATGAAAAAAACACACTGGTAGTGATTCTGAGATGTGTGGCTATACTAAGTCCTTTATTTGGCCTGACCTGGGCATTGGGGTTTGGAACCATGGTGGAGCCAACAAATGCGGGGATCCATGTTGCCTTTGCTTTCTTCAATTCCCTGCAGGTATTTGTGCTTGTGTTTAAGTTGGACATAAACAGAAAACTAGCATTGAGATTTATTTATTGTGTTGTGCTCTATTAACACATGTAATATTCTTTTAAGGGCTTCTTCATTTTAGTGTTTGGGACTCTATTTGATTCCAAGGTAAGTACAATAAATACGTAATACAATAATCATTGAGCTGGTGGTCTGTAGCAATCTACTTATAATGAGCCTTAACAAGGCAATATTCTTAAGTGAAAAATTCTAGTTTTCGTAATTTTCATAAAAAAAAATTGAAGGTGTTACATTAACATACAGTCGCGGGGAAAAAATAGTTCCACTTGTTTCCTTCAGTATGGTGCTCCTCAGGTATACTATCTTAAAACTTTGGTGTAATACTTTTTTTTTTTTTACAGCAGTATTTATATTGGCCCATTTTAACATGGCACTGCTAAAATCATTGAAAATAAAATCAATGAAGTTGATTACCTCACTATAGATCACCTTACTATACAGGTAAAAGCCAGTAAATTAGAGTATTTAGAAAAACTTTATTTATTTCAGTAATTGCATTCAAAAGGTGTAACTTGCACATTATATTTATTCATTGCACACAGACTGATGCATTCAAATGTTTATTTCATTTAATTTCACAAAATTAGAATATTGTGTAAGGGTTAAATTTTGAAGACACCTGGTGCCACAAACTAATCAGCTGATTAACTCAAAACACCTGCAAAGGGCTTTAAATGGTCTCTCAGTCCAGTTCTGAAGCCTACACAAACATGGGGAAGACTTCAGATTTGACAGCTGTCCAAAAGGCGACCATCGACACATTGCACAAGGAGGGAAAGACACAAATGCTTATTGCTGAAGAGGCTCGCTGTTCTCAGAGCTCTGTGTCCAAACACATTAATAGAGAGGCAAAGGGAAGGAAAAACTGTGGTCAGAAAAAGCGTACAAGCGATAGGGATCACTGCACCCTAGTCAAGATTGTGACAAAAAACCCTTCAAAAATGTGGGGGAGATTCACAAGGAGTGGACAGCTGCTGGAGTCAGTGCTTCAAGATCCACCACCAAGAGACGCTTAAAAGACATGGGTTTCAACTTCAAATACCTCGTGTCAAGCCACTGTTGACCAAGAAACTGACCGCTGCTGAGTGGTCCAAATTCATGTTTTCTGACCAAAGCAAATTTTGCATTTCCTTTGGAAATCGAGGTCCCAGAGTCTGGAGGAAGACAGGAGAGGCACAGGATCCACGTTGCCTGAAGTCTAGTGTAAAGTTTCCACCATCAGTGATGGTTTGGGGTGCCATGTCATCTGCTGGTGTCGGTCCACTCTGTTTCCTGAGATCCAGGGTCAACGCAGCCGTCTACCAGCAAGTTTTAGAGCACTTCATGCTTCCTGCTGCTGACCTGCTCTCTGGAGATGGAGATTTCAGGTTCCAACAGGACTTGGCGCCTGCACACAGCGCAAAATCTACCCATGCCTGGTTTACGGACCATGGTATTTCTGTTCTAAATTGGCCAGCCAACTCCCCTGACCTTAGCCCCATAGAAAATCTATGGGGTATTGTGAAAAGGAAGATGCAGAATGCCAGACCCACGAACGCAGAAGAGTTGAAGGCCACTATCAGAGCAACCTGGGCTCTCATAACACCTGAGCAGTGCCAGAAACTCATCGACTCCATGCCACGCCGCATTAATGCAGTAATTGAGGCAAAAGGAGCTCCAATCAAATATTGAGTATTGTACATGCTCATATTTTTCATATCTATCATTTTCATATTTATCTATGGGTAATTTAATTTAACTATCAATTTTAAGAAGGCCTCAGACGTTTGCTAGAGACTATAAACAGATAAGGAGGAAACTAAGGAACACAGCATACAGTTCATGATTAAAACTATGGTGAATTTTTATGCAGCTTTGGGATGCCATATTAAGCATTTACAATGTTGTTGACTGTGGAGAACTAAAAACAGGAAACTCTTTATTTTACACCTTACAGTAATGTGCAACTTTGAGCTGTTTTATGACGCAAAAATTCAGGAATACATTTTTGAAGTTTATCATAACTGATAAATGTGAAGAGGTTAAATGGAGGGAGCAAAAATTTACTTTATGACAAATATTGAACAGATTCTGAATTAGAGATATGATGGATTGTGGTGTGATTTCATTAAGTTTTGCTGCAGACAATGAATGCGTGTTTATCAATGCATGGAACTGTTTCTCAAAACAGTGGAAAATGGAACATGTGTAATGGATTTATGAGTAACATAACTGTCTGCTTGTAGATCCGTTCCCTGATTTTAAGAAAAGTGCCGGCTCGAAGCTCCACCTCTAACCAAACAAGAGTAAGTCAAAATTTATTAAAACACAATTGTTCAAAACATGTTTTCAACAAAATACTTAGATTGACCTCTTTTTACTGAATCAGGGTACACTCTGGTTTCCTGAATAATAAATTGAAATGCCAATCTTGTCTTTTTTTTATTAATGGTTTACTTAAAACATATCCTTTATTATAGAGCACAAGTGGTGGAATTTCATCTTTCATCAATATTTTTCGTGGGAGAAGAAGTAAGATGTAGTACTTTGCATATCCCCTTGTTTATCTTAATTCCAATAATCTAACGGTTTGTTGTTTGTTTTCCAGATGCCTACAATGTTTCTCGGGTTGGAAACTCAAACAACGCCAGCAGCGCATCAGAGTTATTAACCAACCCCTAAACCTGTACAAATACTGTAAACTAATTAATCTGTAATGTATTTTATCTGATTGTTTTATCCTATGACATTATAAAGGTCTTTAAACATAAACTTGTTTTACATAGCGAGAGAAACAATGTACACTCGTATAATTTAAGAAATCATCATTTTATTTGTAGGTGCAAGATCAAAGTGTAAGAGCTTATGAAGGACCAATTAAAAAGCGATTCCTGATGGGGAAAAAGCAAGACTAAAAGTAAATTGGAGGGATGTTCTTTTTAAGGCACACCTTAGATGTTTTTTTATTCCCATTTCTGTTTTATTTTCTCTTTTCATGAGCGAGCTCTTTCCTGTATCTATCTCTTTGTCTCTCATTTTAGTACTTATACATATCTGTATTGCATTTTACTCTTGAAATAATTTTCAATAAAGTTTCATATACAAGTACTAACCGGAACCTTATAACAACAGTGATAATTCAGTTCAATTCAGTTTATTTATATAGCGCCAATTCACAACACATGTCATCTTAATCTCAATGAATGATTGATTGATGAGCAAATGTGTTGGGCTATTATCTAGCTCTGGATATCTATTACCAGAACTATATTGGAAAAACATTACAAACACAAAAAATAAAAGATACCAGGGTTTCTATTAGAGTGCACCTAGTTCCGCCTCTTCGACTTTGATGGACGTCTGACAATTTAAATGAATTGGTGTTCTTCACTGCAGGCAAATTTATATATTTATAATTAGATAATTATATTTACTTCTTAAAATGAAATCACTATATTTAGCAGAGGTCCATATAAATATTTATATACTTTTTAAATAAATTCAGTATTTATTTCCAGAATATGCATAAAAAAATATTTAACAAAGTATTTGATCATGGAATTGGGGCACTCATCACCTTTCATACTTTAAAGTTGTCCTTGCTTTTTTTTTTTAAAGTAAAACAAAAAAAAGAACGGATTTTGCCTGTACAAATAACACCACAATTTAATGTAAAGCATTAAAAATTCCCCTTTTGGTGAGTTTTTCAACACAAATTTTTATTGAATAGGCTAAAAATGGTGTGAAACATTGATTCTCATAATTATCATAATTAAGGGACAAAAACATTTTTTATTAAGTACATATGCAAAACTCTAAAGGCAACTACAGACAACAATTTTAACTGTTCTTGTAAAAGTAGGAACACATTTTCATCTGTAAAATATTGTCATAGATTATACATGAATGGTAAACTGAATATAGCAGAATCAAATGATGATGTGTCGATATATGAATCTATAAATCAAAACAGATTAGTATTGGAAAAATCTCCCTGAAATAGCTTCCCTTGAATAATCATTTTGAAAGCCCTTCTGAACCATTTATAGAAGAAAGCATAAACCAGTGGATTTAACATAGAATTGGACCATCCAATCCATTTAAATATTTCCACAATTAGATCTGGTGTTGTGCTATTGTTCATTCTATAAAAACTATCAGACAAAAAGTAGGGAGTCCAACACAATAAGAAGACTCCCACTACAATGGCCAAAGTTATGTTTGCCTTTTTTTCCATCTGACTGACAGATACAGCAATCTTTAAACTATTCTGGATGCAGCGTGCCTGCTTTTTTGCCACAACCAAAATCTTTAAATAGATGATAAAAATTATAATAGCTGGGATGTAAAATGCAAAGAAAGTTCCTATAATAGATTCCTTTTTAACTAAAAGAATCTTGCCCATCCTGCCCGGATCCTCTATGCCTATCCCTCGAAATGTGATGGTGATCGCAATTAGAAGGGGAACAGTCCAGCTCACTAGGATCATAATTAGAGAAACACGAACATTTATTTTATTTCTATATGTTAGAGGGTGACATACTACATAATATCTGTCCACAGATATGAAGCACGAGTTTAAAATAGATGATACAGACAATAAGATATCAAACAAACCTCGAATTTTACAGAGTAGATGAGTTGAATACCAGCATGAGCTCATAGACAATACTGAACTAAAAGGTAAAACTAAAGCCCCGACAAGCAGGTCACTCACAGCTAGAGAGAGGATAAGGAAGTTTGTTGGAGTGTGAAGCTGCTTAAAGTATATGATAGAGGTGATTACAAGAAGATTCCCACATATAATCAGAAAAGATAAAGAAGCAAAAACAAAATTCAAGGCATAAGAGGTCACAGTTTGTCCGTGCCACTTTATGGTTTCATTCATCAACCATTCATCAGTCATATCAACCCTGTGAAAAAACCTGCATCATTAAAAAAAGAGATTTTAGTAGGATGTGTTTTAAAATCTATGCAATGCAGTAAATGTGGAGGGATGTGTCCGTTGGTCTCTGTATGACTGAACAACATACAGTGCCTGCATTTGTTTTATTATTCCATGTCTATATGTTCATTGGCTGTTCACAAGTGTAACTGGGGCTTTCTTTGTAACCAAGGTGAGATATTTCCTGGTTTCACTTGAAGTAGCATTTTTCATCTATTACAGTTAGTGTGTACTGTTCTACAGGAATGTATTAGTGAACAAATAAATTAAGAGTGCTTTTCTGTAGATTTACTTGACAGTCATCATCAATGGTGAGGTCTTTTTTAACCTAATTTCTTTTTCTGATTTCCCAGCTGGAAACCCAAGTATACCCCTTAATTCCATTGCCTTCTGGGAAAATAAGTACTTACAACCAGCCAAGGGCGTAGGTTTGATTTGAACTTTGGTAGGGATACTATTGGTCGGGTGTCATTGGTGCTATGCAATATGCATGCCCTTTTTTATGCTCGATGTGAGCATCCGTACTGATAAGAGGAATTCATTGTTAAAAGAGAAAAGCAACATTTTGCTCCACTAATAAAAATGTTATAAGCTCTACACTCATTAGATGCTGTTTATCAATGTTTGAAGTATCACCGGCTCTGATCAATGTGGAATTAGGACTGTTTTCCACTTTGAAAACGGTTTGATTTGAACGACTAAGAGAGAAGGTAAATACAGTATTTTCTTCTGAAGATATAGAATTGTGCAGAGTTAAACCCCACTCTAATATTTGTACCTACTATTCTCTCTCTGTATCAAGCAAAATAATACAATCATTAAAATATTAACTTCATTATAAAAGTTGAACATCTGGGCTGTAGTTACTCTGTGTCGCCCATTTCATGTATTTCATCTGGGGCTGAAAAATATTAATCATATTAATTGATTATTTCAATAATCGTCAACTAATTTAGTGAGTGATTCATCATTAACTGGAGAATAGAGACTCTAAAACATACAGTAATATAAATGTAAAATGTGCCTTTCCCCACAGAGCAACGCACTTAGATCAGTTATTATATCAAAATTGTAAAAATAAAAACAAAAAAATGAAAACAGTAATATCAACTTAATATCGATAAAAATTGAAATCCTCACATTTTCTTTTTTAGTTGGCTGTGCCTAAGAATCAGAAATGTTGATGGCTTACAGCCTTTATTTGCCCATTTTTCCAGCAGTCTTCAGAACTCCTGGCTGACTCAGAATATTTCGTTTTATAAAAGAAAAAAAAAGGTTTTTGTTCTTTAGTGAACATGATATTATTTTTTTTTTTTATTGGGACTAGTTTTGTAGCCTAACATTAATTGTAGTAACCGTTGCATTCTAGTGTGAATAAATTTTCAATGTTGTGCTCCAAGCACACGCGGACTAGAAAACAGCCAATCAGAGAGAGAGAAGGCGGAACTTAAGGCAGAACAACCAATGAGAGTGGAGTTAAACAGCGCAGCACAGTTCCATGCGCTGCTACGTTAGAGGGACAGGAGAGACCAGGCAGAGGAGCTGCGAGAGGAAAGGAAGCCACTGCTGCAACAACTACTGCCGGAAATTATAAACATGTTGCTCACATCCAATTATTGGTAGGGACAATTAGGTCGGTTCAAAATTTTGGTAGGGACATGTCCCTATGGTCCCTATGCAAACCTACGCCCATGCAACCAGCTCCAATAGTTTGGGGAAAAAACCTTATTGTTTATGAATTAAGTGAAACATCCTGAGCCACTGCTGTTTTTTGTAACAAAGAGGTACATATTTATATAAAATATATTTTTTTAACATATCACTTTTCCACCTGTTTGCCTGTAGACAGCTCCCCTCGCGACCCCAGCTGGGATAAGCGTGACGGAAAATTGATGCATGGAATGGTCACTTTTCCAGTAGAATACACAAAATATTAGTGAAAAAGTTCAGAGGATAACGTGGTAATGGCTAAAGGAATAATTATCCCCACTGTAAGTAATGCAAACTTATAAGAGAGATTTCACAGATGTAGTTCTGCAACACCTCTCTCAAATAACAACACCGATATCGCTCAGAGTACCGAAATTGTGAAACTCGAAAACATGCAATATGCCAAAACCACCATTTTTGGGGTGGCATCTTTTGTTTTTTTCTAATTCTGTTTTCTGACTGATTGTGAAGAGGGGGACCTTTTGGGGACCACCATACTACAGTGCCTATAATACAATGCATTACCGTTTCCAATGGAGTTTTTTAACTATCCCACATTTTCAGGGGGTCACGGCTCACAATCCAAGAGCAGCCCCGCACCTACAGCAGGTAAGCATCCCAAACATTGAGGTTGTAAGCATAAGCTTAACATGAAGGAGGTGACGTTTTTTTTTTTTAATCCAACAAAAACAACAAAATAAAAACCTGGTCTGTACATGGGTTTTCCTCATTAATTGTGCAATGTTATACTTTATTCTATGATTTTTTATTGTTTTATTTATGATTAATTTATTCATTTACTTATTTATTTAATGTTTTATTCTGTCACATAATCTCCATTTTCTCTTCGCAGGGGGTCTATGACGACCTCAACGGAACCGTAGACGTGTCGTCGGAGGACCATCCTCCTCACCCTGAACTGAACCCCTGCCCCTCGGCGGCGCTGACTTGTACGGGATCTACCTCTGCGCAGCATTTTGGACGATATCCTTCCTGATGACCGTCAGCAACAACCTAGTGTTTGCCATGACGTACAGCTGGGCAAGGGTGAAAAGAACAACTGTGGACAAATATAGGCTCCAGCTGTCAGTGGCCAACCTCCTGTGTGCTCTGGGCTGTGAGAGCATTTGACAGCTGGCACTTCGGAGGCTTCCTTTGTGCATCATTTTGAGCGGTCTACATGGCGAGCCTGAATGGTAGCGTCCTGATACTGGCCTTCATCAGCGCCAGACGTGTCAAGTAACCAAGTACAAACACTTTGTTACTGTACGTAGGCACACTTCTTAGCTATCTATACTTTACTCCATGACTTATTTTTCTTCCTACTTCTGACTTCTACTCATTACATTTTCACACAAGTATCTGTGCTTTCTATTCCTTGCATTTTTAAAACAAA